CTCCTGAGGTCCCTTCCAACCCTCCTTTTCTATGATTCTGTGATAAGGCTTCTCAACACCAATGCAACCCAGGCTCTTGGAGAGCTGCCCTTCCCTCATCAACGTGGCTGGACTGTGGGGAGCGGCTGGGTTACCATGCTGCACCCACCCTGGCTTTCCCTATACTGCTTGACAGGAACAGGCAGATCTGCGCTTGGAGAGGTGGCCGAGGGCAGCTGCAGGCAGAGGCAGCAGCCCTAGAGTTAAGCACATGCAAGGCTCCCCACACTTAGAGTTACCGTATTTCCAGCTCCAAAAAAGAAGACACCTGTTGCACAAGGGAGAAGGGGGCATATGATTGTGGGGGGCAGTGATGTGCTGGTGTCCTGCCCCTGCCCATTCTGTTGTCCCTCACTCCCAAGCCACAGGCCACCCAGGCCCTGCTGCTGCCCCCCTCACTCCCCACCTGGAGACTGCTGGCCCTGCCAGAGCCCCTCATTCCCAACCTGCAGTACCCTGCCCCCTGGGCCATGCTGGTGCCCCTCATTCCTAAGCCACAGCCCCCTGCTCCCTCCAGCCCTGCATCTCCCAGGTGCCCCTCTCACCCCCACAAGCACAGGCACCAACCCATGCTCCTGGCCCAGCCACACAGCTCCCTACTGCCTCTAAAGGACCTCCCTGCCCCCTTCCCCCACTGGAGAGGCAGGCACATCCCGCCCCGCCCCGCCTTCCCTGCCCTGCTGCAGCCCCCCTGCCCAGACAGCTCCCCCCAGCACCAGGAGGCACACACCCTCCCCATCCCCTTTCTCTCTGTCCCCCCTATGCCCTACCTGCCTGGCTCCATGCCCACCATGTATGTACCCCCTGCCTGCAATTCCCCCCCACTACCCCCAGCCCCAAGCAGCGCCTTGCTAGGGTGAGCCAGAAAAAACTTGGAAGCTGAGCTGACCAAAATCCCAGACACTTAATCATATTTAAAAAAAAAAAAAATAATGTGTAGGACAACCCAAAAAGAAGGCACCTGCAGAAAACCCAGATAGTCCCTGGGGCTCCTCCAGCAGGGGGGTTTCTCAAGCAAGGGATTTAGGAGAGGCCCACAGAAATCAGCTCCACCCAGCACCCCCACCTCGGGGGTGGGAGAAGCCCCCAGAGCTGCGGGCAGGACTGGGCCAGAGCAAGCTGATACACATACAGCTGATTGGTGGGCGGGGCAAGAGGCGGGGCCCATGGGAACGGGGCGGGGCCACAGCACAGGCGATGACTGACAGATAGGGGCGGGGCCTGCGAAGGGAGCCCCGCGATGACTGGCAGAAAAACAGGGCGTGGTCTGTGCTTGCGGGGGCGGGGCCACAAAAATCTCACAGGCGATGACTGACAGAGATAGGGGCGTGGCCTTCGAAGGGGGCGGGGCCACAGAGCGCCCCGATGGCGACGGACAGGGAAAGGGGGAGCGGCCTGCGCTGGCGGGGGCGGGGCCACCGAGCGCTCAGCGACTGCTGAGCGGAAAAGAGGGCGGGGCCTCGGGACGGAGCAGGCAGAGCCCGAGCGTCTCAGCTGGGGCCTGGCCG